ACCTTTTGTGGTTAGCGCTGATAACAATGAGGTTTTCTGCGGAGTGACAGAGAGCGTTACTCAAAGTGTGGTCCACGGAGCCCTTGGGCTCCGCAAAGCCTTTGTGGGGGCTCCGCAAAGAAAATAAGCAGTACCTATCGTTACAGGACTTGGCTTTAGGACCTATTATATTTTTTTAGAAGGAGTATATGAGTTTGATATTTTGATATTTCGGTATTTCGAGTGAGTGGACGACCTTTTTTTTTCAGGAAGAGGAAGGAGTATATGATTTTGGTATTTTCGGCTGCAGGACCTTTTTTTTTAGAGGTAAGGAAGAGATGAAGGAGTATATATGATTTTGGTATTTTCATTTTCGGTTTTTAGAAGTCAAGCAGAGGAAGGCGTATATGATTTTAAGTATTTTGTTGTAGGGGCTCCGCAAAGAAACGGGAGGGACCGGGACCTAGCAAGAGGCTAGAGCAAGGGAGACTTTTTTTTCCGAAATGTGTTTAGGGCTCCGTCAAATATTTTACTTTTCAAAAAGGTTCCGTCACCAAAAAAGTTTGAGAACCACTGGTATATTTTATGGCTATTGACTCTACAATAGATACAAATGTGATATATTGAAGAAGATGGTCGAGGAGAGGTATAATTTTTAGAATATTGTGGTCGTGCGTATAAAGACACTTTAGATGATTTCGTCTTGCCTTAAGATTTTTCTTTGTTATCCAACGGTTTAAAAGATGAATTAAAGTTTTCTAAATTTGTATTTTCTAGGATCACACATCTTTTTAATCGACTTACTAATTAGAAGTGCATGATCTGGTTAAAAAATTTCTTATATAAGTTGTAAAACATCCTGTATATAAATTTAAATTCAGTCACGGTTTTAGTCTAAAACGGATTCGATTTCGATCGAAAACGCTTTTAATACATAGTAGGCGGTTATTGAGCCGGGGTCACAATTGGTGGCCGCTCAACCGTCAGATTTTCCAACCATATCAAAGTAAAATCTGTTACGATTGCGAGTGCTGCAACAATGGCGTCCAACTTTAATATCTGTTTATCTCTTTTTCCATTGTTATTCCGGTGGGCAGATATAATGAGAGACTCGTTCGCTGGGATGCGACCGTTATAGAAGTGACGATTTATACATGGTTTTATTGAAATTCGACGTAATGTATGATAAAAAAGAAATTAAAAACAGCTTTGGAAACTGAATTTATGAAGACCATGTACGAGTATTTTTAATCAAACTTCAAACGGGAACAAGTCACAAAGTCAATGAAAAAGAAAATAATCGAACAAATTCGGGATTTAAATTAATTTTTCAGCACGTGTTTTAAATGTGTAGGGTGGACAAATTTCGATATTTTAATAGAGAATGGTATGAAAAAATTTGCTTTTGTTTTCGAGTTATAAACAAAAATTTTCATTATATGGTATATCTCGCTTATTTATGAAAGTGGAAGAAAATCATTTATACCTTCTTTGGACACTTTTTGATAAGAATCCAATAGCGTAGTCAATTTTTAAAAATTCTTCAAATTCGAGTTATAGCATAAAGTTGTATTTTTTTATATGGAACGGGTAGTTGGCTGTGGCATACAAAAAAAGACAAAAATGTTCCCATTCTAACGATATTATTTATTTTAATTGTTATTTATCAAAATTTCATTATTTTCAAAATAATCTATAATACTCTGTTCTTTTCTAGTAGTCTTGTGTCATTTAGAATATTACTGATAGGACAAAGTATCTGTTATTGCATGTTATTAAAATACTGAACAACATTTGATTGTTTATGAAAATCTATGAAAATAAATAAAAAAATTAATTTGTAAGAATGTTTTATTCAAAGTAATAACAATTATATTCTCACTAGTGATATATGGATTGCTTTATGTTGCCTTAGATACGCATATAATACATCTATAGAATGACAGTTGTAGATAAAAAAGTTTATAATGTACCTTTCTAAACCACTGACAGTTTGTTACCTATATCTGTACCGGGATCTATATTCTGCTACTGTGAACCCCCAAAATTTTGGTCACGAGCTGCCCCTGGTTGTGTATGTTGTGTTGCCTGCTTACTCTAAGATTAATTTTATGATATGCAGAAAAAATATTTGTTAGTAAGTACATTTTAAAAATAACTTACAAGATCATCTGTTAGAATGCTCAAATAGCAAATTAATGACTTATACACTGTTTGAAGTTTTATTTAATTTTACAAACAAAAAAATCAAATTAAAAAGAATAAATAATAAGTGGTGAGGATTGAACTCACGACCATCAGGTTCAAAGACAAACGCGCTAGGCTCTACACCAACAAGACATGTTAAATATGAGTGTTAAAAACATTTAAATATTAAGGAAAATGAGTTTAAGTAATAAATGTTCAACTAAAAGATTCAGATTAGTCTAAATTTTCTTTTAAAATACCGATTAGCTATATAATAACCTTTCTAATGAAAATAGGCGTGTGCAAAAAGTAATTTTCCGCCTATAAGCGGCAATAGTGTCAAACTATGACAATTCATGTGCCTACTTTGGATAGTAATCGTAGAAAAAAAATTGTTAACGATTGGTATCTATTGACCGCCCAACATTTTTTGTTCATACCCGCCGGTCAATTAAGTCGCATAACAACTCTTAAAACGGCGTGGTGACGTTAAAATAATCGTCGTCGCATGTCCTTACCGGGAAGGGAATTGGTCGAAGTTATTCTTAGAAAGCCATTGTCACCTCTGATTATGCGATAATAATTATTGTTCACATTGTTCTTGAAACGAAAAAGATTGATAACTTGTACGTGAATGGTATGAGAAAATTGAACTAGACATTTGAGGAAAAAAAAATGGAGAATACCGGGTGTTCTCGACAATTCTCATTAACTGTAATGAAAAGTATACCTATACGTGAAAAATAACCAGTAAAGTAGTATATAAAATGTTGTATTAGTTATAATGTAAAAATAAAATTCAAAAAATGCTAAAATTATTTTGATTGGTTGTTAAATAAAAGAATATTAAAATAGATAACCAGAATTCAATACTCCCATGCTGAAAATAAAAGATACTTACGTTTATTGTAGTATAGATAAAATGAATAACAAAAGTTCAACCAATAATCAAAATAACTGTACAGAATGCTGATGTTATAATCATTCAGAGTGTTCATTGGTATTCAGCGTTGCCAGAATATATTTTTGTAATGTACCAGATTTGTCTAAAAAATGTACCAGATTACATAAAAATCTACTAGACTGTATAAAACTACCAGATTTTTCTAATTGGGAAGTGTAGTCATTAAAGAGCCAAAAAATAGAGAACACGAATACAACAATTTTAAACAATATTTTATCTCTCGAGCAATTTTTGAAAAAGATTTTAATAATTTATGATACTATTCTATCTTTCGAACATTTTTTAAACCTTTTTTTATCTCTTGAGCTATTTTTAAACAATATTTTATCTGAAATAAAATGAATTTAGCTCAAAGCCAGAATATCACATAAAATACAGTTGTTTTTTGAAGGGGAAACGGTCGTTGTATTTTATGTGATATTCTGGCTTTGAGCTAAATTCATTTTATTTCATTTTGCATCTATCACAATTGAGTTTTGATATTTTATTATCGTTTAATATTTTATCTCTCGATACATTTCTAACAGTATTCTACCTCTCAAGCAATTTTTAACAACTTTTCTTGTATCCCTCGAGCAATTTTTGTACAATATTTAATTTTTGAACAAGATTTTAACAATTTATAATACTATTTTATTTTTCGAACAATTTTTAAACCTTTTTTTTATCTCTTGAGCTATTTTTAAACAATATTTTATCTTTCGATAATTTTCTAACATTATTCTATCTCTCGAGCAATTTTTAACAACTTTTTTATCTCTTTAGCAAACTGCACAATATTTTAAATCTCGACAAATTTATAACAATATTTTAACTCTCGATAAATTTTTAACAATGTTTTATGTCTCGAGCAATTTTTAACAACTTTTTTTATCACTCGAGCAATTTATAATAGTATTTTATCGTTCGAGAAATGTTTAAACAATGTTTTATCTCTCGAGAAATTTCTAACAGTCTCGAGTCAATTTTGAATAATATTTTTTTTTTTTTCGATTTATGGCCTAGGTGTAAAAACCTAATATGCCAGTCTCAGTTTGTGTTTAAATTCTCAATCATGTGAGTTATATGTAGGCTTTGTTACTGTTTCCCAGCGACATTTCAGGAACAGCACTGTTAATTAGAACCCAACAGTGAATGGTCGAGTGGAATATTTTATTTCTCAACAAATTTTTCAACAGTATTTTATCCCTCGAACATTTTGTAATACTATTTTACCTCGAGCAATTTTTGAACACGATTTTAATAATTTATAATACTATTTAATCTCTCGAACAATTTTGAAATATTTTTTATCTCTCATTAAATTTCTAAAAGTATTTTTATCCCTAGAGCAATTTTTGAACAATATTTTACCCCTCAAGCAATTTCTAATACTATTTTATCCTTCGACCAATTTTACCTCTCAAGCTATTTTTGAACAATATTTGATCCCTCGTGCAATTTTTGAATAATGTTTTATCTCTCGAGAAATGTCTACTATTTTATCTCTAAAGCAATTTTTAACAACTATTTTAATTTCTCAGGAAATTTTTGAACAATATATTTTACACTTCAAATGGAAACATACGCTGAAAAAGTACTAGATTTTGCTTCGAGTGTACTAGAGTACCAGCTTCTCAGAGAATGTACTAGATCTAGTACAATTGTACCAGACTGGCAACAATGTTGGTATTCCTGGTTTCTAAGGAAAAAGAATATTGTATTAATTTCCATTAATTTTTACAAATAAAATATATATAATTATTAACACAAGCTTTACTTATTGTTTATGGAATTATTATACATTTTTCTCTTCGAAATTTTCCTCCAATCTATGTTTTATTAATACAGACTATATTATTTTACTGATCGTTATTTTATTTTGTTTCAGACCCTCGCCAGTGGAGCGAAAATCACGTCGCCCATTGGTTACAATGGGCCGCCAAGGAATTCTCCTTGGATTGCATCCCTTTGAATCAGTTCCGCATGAAAGGCAAAGACATCTGCGCAATGGGCAAGGACGCATTCGCCGCACGAGCGCCCGCTTTCGTCGGCGACATCTTGTGGGAGCATCTGGAACTACTCCAAAAAGGTATGGAAATGATAAATTCCACATATTCATATTGACTTAAGTGGTTTGAAATAATGAATGAAAAACGTTTTCTTGATACATTAATGCTTTTGACCCTAGGACTTAAGTTAAAAAATAATGAGATCGCTCCGAGACTGTGCCTGCAAATTGCCCCCTGACTATAATTGCTAGGTTGTCTACGTATCCTAGGCACTGGTAGCCTTTTTTGGACAATGTTTTGAGTAAGTCGTCCTCAAGAACTGACCACAGCATTGGAGATAATATTCCTCCTTGTGGGAAGCCCCGTGTAACTTTTGCCTGTATGGTTGCCTTTCCTAGAGTCGATAAAATTATCATGTTCTCTAGACAGGCAGTGATCCATTAGCATATTGTAACTGGGACCTTTCTCTGTTCTAGAGCCTTGGTTATTGACCTGGTTGAGGCATTGTTGAAAGCTCCTTCGATATCTAAGAAAGTGGCTATTGTGATTTCTTTGTCATCTATTGACTTTAAAAACAGCCTGGTTAAATCGTCCAGCGCTAGGTCAGTTGACTTTCTGGGCTGGTATGCATATTGGTTGGAATGGAGCTGATTTATTTTTAGTATCTATGAATCTTTCTTTAACCCCTTCAGACCCGAATTTGATACTTTTCAAAAAAAAAAAATTTAATTCTTAATTATTTCCGATCTATTTCAATATATTTCGACTCTTTTTTATCCCACCGTTTCACTTTATCTTCCTTGCCCTTTCCAATAAAATTTGATGTAAGGCATACTGATTTCATCTTCGCTAACTGTTTCATCTGAAAAATCACTTTCTTTCTTATTTATTTCTTTGCCAGACACTAAACCAGGCTTAAAAAATCGGTTCATTCGTATTGTTCCCTCTGCATATATTTGTTTTTCTTTCAGAACCTTCAGCAGCTCATATGAAGAGAAATAGTTTGTCATAATATAATTTATGTCCTCCTTTTGATATTCTCTCTGTTAGATGAAACACTACACTGGCACCAAGTACATATTTTTTCAAGTTTTCATCGTTACGACCTGTAGTTTTACCTTGATAAACTACCAGGTCATAAGGTTGTCCACTTTTTCCACATAAAACAAACACTTTAATTCCCCACGGACAAGGTTTTCCTTTTATGTATTGCTTGATAGATAAATTTCCTCTAAATGGAATCATCTGCTCATCTATACAAAGGTTTTCTTCGAGATTTAGTTGGTGGCACCTGTTTATTATCGAATTTATTAGAGGTCGGACTTTGTAAAGCTTGTCTACACAATTCTGTGGTTTATCTAAATTGTTCACTAAATGCAAACAGGATCGCAGTTGGAAAAACCGGTATCTACTCATTTTTTCCAAAAACACTTCGATACCAAGTGTCCGATCCCAGTACATTCTGATTTTCGGGAATTTGTTGACACCTGATAATTATATGCAAAGCAGATAATATTTGGATTTCAGATGCGGAAGTTGGTCTAAAGTTTCTTTCCTGCTGAACAGCATAAAGGTTCGTAAAAAAAGCCATACTCTCGAAGTCTTCAGGCTTGATATATTTTAGAAAATAATCTATTGGATGTAGGGGTTCACCGGGATTGGCAGTATTAGTTGAAGGGGTCCATGTGATTTCTGGAGGGGTAAATGTATTTTTATTCCATTTTATATTCTTCTTTTTTGACTTAGTAACGGGTATTTCAGTTTCTTCTCTTCCGGTTTCACTTGAATCTGAAATTTCTTCCACGTCCATGCCTGCTGTCTCTGCTATCTCTTCTTCCGTTTCATTCTTCTTTTGGTTATCCGCACCAACCCTTCTTCTAGGCTGTGAGATATATTCCTCTATTTATTCATCACTCGACTGCCCTTCTACGCTCATATTTTCCATATCGGAGAGATCTCTATCTTCAATAATATCTATTAGCTCTTGCACATCTTTCGGGTTTTCGAGATAATATTTTTTTTTTGGTTACTCATCTTGTAAAATTTTAAACGTATATGGACATATGGAATTTCTAACAACGCTTCATACTACATGTATATCAGAAAGGACACACAACTTTAGTGCTTGGTACTTCTTTTAAACCAAATAATAAACAAAACTATTTCAGGATTGGTTTAGTTATAGCAAATACTAATTTTCTAAATCCCTATTATGGATTACACAACAGTTTTATAGCAATATTGTTAGGAAGTAACTCAGAAAATGCAAATAAATATGCACTTACCGGCAGCTGTACTGCTTGGTTATGTTTGACAGATACTTATGGCGAATAATATTTCCTTTTGACACTAGATGGTGCCACTAGTCCCCAGAATGAGTTGAATTCAGGTCCCTTAACAGGGACGAACAGTCTAGGCAGAAGTTTTTAGATTTAGTTGGCCATAAAAAAAATTTGAAATCGATGTCCATTACAATGGACGTCAGGTCTGAAGGGGTTAAGTAGGAAGGAGGATAGGCTTATGGGGCGATATGACTTTGACCCTACCTACTTTGGCCAGGTAGACTACTTACGCCTTTTGCCATATTGCTGGTATATATCTCCAGGCAATGCATGCTCTGAAGATTTTGCATAAATGTGGCATTAACACATCCTTACCCTTCTGGAGCAGAATTGGATATATTCGATCCGGCCCCGGGATTTGTGTGCCTTGAATTTGTTGATAGCCTAACTAATCCTGTGTGGTCTTGTGATCTAGGAGGCCAACTTCCAGTCTATTGGAGTTGGTCCGATACCCTTGTGACTGTAGCTCCCTTGGGCTCCTGAATCTAGTCTTGTTAGGATAGTTGAGGCCAGAAAGTGCACCTGAGTTAGTATCTCTAGACTTTCCTCTAGTGTCGTGGTGTAGTTGTCATTATCTTTTTTGAGGAATCCCACTTGACTAGATGTACTGTCTTTGGCTATAACTCTATGGATTATGGCGCTGGCGGTGGTCTCTGAGACCTCTTCGCAGAACTTCTTCCATGAATTTCTTTTAGCCTCGCGTACTTCTTTGTTATACTTTGTAAGCTTATTTTTATAAGTAGTCCAGTCTTGTGTGGATTTGCCTCTGTTGAATAGCCTTCGCACCTCGCCTCTCAGGCTATCTAGGTGTTTATTCCACCAGACTGTCTTTCTCGTTTGGCATCTCTCTTTTTCGGGACAGTTTTTTTGGTAGGCATCTGTAATTGCCTTGTTTACTAAGTCCACTATCCTTTCGAGTGTTTTTGTTTCTCGTACATTTGTAGTTTCCTCCTTGAGAGACTCCTCGAGGGATTTTATGTACCCTTCCCAATTCGTCTCTCTCGGATTTCTAAACCTGTCTGCTGTACGAGTTGGACATTGTATATAGAATCGGATATGTCTGTGATCTGAACACGATGGTCCAGAACTTATTTTCGGTTGGCAGTGACAAGTTGGTTTGTTGCCTTTATTGACAATTTCTAACCTTTCACCTAGAATTAATTGTAATAGTGACTCACCTCTTGGATTGATATTGGCACTTTCCCAGATCATGTGGTGTGCATTCGCATCGCATCCTATAATGAGTTTGGATTTCTGCTCCTCGCAATGGGCAATGATTTTGCCTAGTATTGCTGAGAGGCATATTCTCTCTTCTTCCGGGAAGTAGGTGGAGCATACAACATAGCTCTTCTCTCCCTCTTCCGTTTGGACTGATAGCATAGCTAACAAAATCACCGGTGTAAAGCACCGGTATTAGTGTACAATTAACCCTGTGGCTGTAGTAAAGTTGGGCATAAAACACATAACTATTTTGTAGAAACTGAAACGAAACTAAATATAAATAAACAACATAACCTCAAAAATAATAGTAAATATTTTACCTGGAACTTGGAGATGTGTTTCGTTAACAATAATTGAATTGACACACATACTTCTGATTTATTAAATTCGCAGTTTTATTTAAACACGGTTTTTAAATAAACAATTAAAATTGTCTTATGGTGAATTTTAGAGTTTGACAGTTTGATTGAAAACATCAAGATATAATAATATAGAGAGAACATTAACACTATTTTGCTATATGAGAAAAAAAAAGGTATTTATATTTTACCTCACAAATTAGCTTCCATTGTTTCATGCGATCAAATCATTCAATTATTTCTTCATATTTGTTGGATAGGCATCAATGAGCTTCAATGAAAGATTTTTGTACTTCAATTGATGTAAAGTAATTATTATTTTTTATTAAATAAACGTTTATTTTCTATTTTATTAGGGACTTAGAGACCCTTAAACCCTACAATAATAGGTTCAGAAAAAAGATCTATCCGAATAAAAAATATAAATATAGGGTGATTCATTTTAAATTTGATCCGATGACAGATGATGAAAATCCCCAAACGCCATTAAATAGTGCATAAAATATATAAAAAACTGTGTGCCGCCAATTTTACTCAACCCAGTATATCTAATCTCTTTACTATTGAAATGCAACCTATTATTTTTTTAAATGATGACCACTCTTGAACTAATTTCTGACGAAACCATATTAAACTTAAACGCCCCCTCCGCGAATCAAAACATACTTTTATGGCCATTTCACGTGTTAAATATTGAAATCGCTTTAAAATTAACAATCACTTGTCATGGTAGGCTTAATTCGTTGGTAAATACAGGTAGAAAGAAAATAAGGAACAAAACATGTTATTTTCGACTTCTTGACGTAAATACCTTTTGAAATAACTAATATTGGTGCGGATCAAGGCAATACGACGAAATTGTAGATCGTTTGAAATGCAATTGATTGTGGAATAATGATAACTTTGATAAATATACGCTTTCGGGGTTTTATGCAATCTTATAATGTGCTCGCTAATATGGTATTATATAATATTAGCAAACTGGTAATGGATCGTTGAGAAAATGTTAATGGTTTACCGTATGTGGTACTTATATGATTTGTACGTCGTAGCTGTTTGTCTAAATTAACCATTTCTTGAAGTATATAGTGTGTCTCATTAATTCTGCACCATATGGAAACCTTTTTTATTAACTAGATGGTATCTTAGTGTAAAATTCCAAAAAAACCACAGTAGTTAAATTCTTTTGGTAATCACCAAATACATTTTCCAAAATTACCGCCACAAAATCATTTTTTAACATTAGAAATATTTATGTTCTTATATGATACCAAGACGCTTGGTGTCGCTAGACAAGCGTAATACATATAGGTAGATGATCAGTAGGTCTGCAGCTGACGTTAAAATTAAGATGCGCATTAGAGAGCTCATTTCACTGAAAGTTTCGAAGTGAGCACTTCGGCAAATACGATGAGTGATCTGTTTTAAATACATCTAAATCTCTGTTATAGAGATTGATTATGGATTAGTATTTGAGTATTTTAAGAGTCTAAACTTATTTGGTTCCTGTAGTTACGTTGAATGACAGCAGCGTTTCTGTTGAAGTTAGCAGACTAATTTGTTAAATTTAGTCAGCAAGTAGTCTGTCCCTTTACAGTAATACATCTTCTGCACACGTACTGGCGAACCTTATTCCCACTGGATATATATACTCCAACAGTTTCAGCCTACGTACTTTATTGAAACCACGCACATTTAACTGCTTGGTAAGCACATTAGGGTGCATTGACACTAGTTCACTATACCGAACCCTGAACTTGTAGAGTGCGTTACCGTTTCGGTGATGTTTTCCGAGTTTCCCTTACCTGTAACTCAAATGGCCCCATCAATCATCTTTATGTTGTTCTGTAGCGTTACAATAAATAATAATAGCTGTCCCTTCCCCAAAAAAGGCTTCTGATGTTAAAATTTACTGTAAGCGGGTAAATTAGGGAGGGATGTTGTTTTGAATTACCTTGTTGGAGGCTTAATAAGGCTCTCAAGACTTTGTTTTGGAACCGTATTACTAGCAGTATAGGTACCCCATTGCTGGAAAGATTTTAAGATAGCTTTGTAGCCTGTTCATTTGGCTTAGTTTAAGACCATGTTGTTTGTGTTTATTAAATATGTTTTTCCCTATAAGACATCTGTTTAGATGCATGTCAAGGTATTTGGGAGGTGACAGTTGTAGATAAATGGAAACAATTGAAAAAATCTATATCGGAAAGGATTCAAAACATCCACATTTGTGTCCTGCGCACGCAGCCTTGCCAAATGGGTCATCAGGACATACTGGAATGTATAATTTAGTGTCTTATGTCTAATTTAGCAAGGCAGCGTGCGTAAAACGCATATGTGGAGGGTTCGAATCCTGCTCGGAACAAAGTGTATTCAATAAATGTGATTTCACTTTGGGTGGTTGAAAAATGGTTTTCATTATTTAATTTAAACTTAAAAAATATTTGTTTACCATATTTGAGGGAGGTCAAAAAATAAGCGCATGCGCAAGCTCAGAAAGTAAAAATAGGGTAACTTTTTACATGAAACACTTCAGTCAATAGTTGTAATATTAAAAATAATATATTTAATCAACTATAATATGCCCTTTTTTAAATAAAATAAAAAATATTTTGGATAAAATTTTCATAAATTTTGACAATTATAGCGAAATTTTAAAATTTCAAATTTATAGTCACGAAATCTACAGAATAAAACAAGCACAAACGCGTATAAACTTTTTAAAAAATCATTATTAATATTATTGGTATTAATGACAAGGAATATCGGCCCCAAAACGGACCCCTGAGGCACATCATATTTAATTTTTGGCTAAGATCGATTACAAATGCCCTGGTTAGTGCTATAGGGATGCAGAAAACTTATAATGGCTGAGTTCATCCAGCAATATATTAATATATTGTAGGAGATACAGTCAACTAATTTAGTCAAATCACAAAACATAATAATAAGTGACCCACAAAAAATGTTTCTAAAGTAGGCCATGAACGATAAAGACATATACAAGTCATTTTCATGATAATTACGCACGCCTTTGAATTAAATCCAAATTGACATTGAAAAAAAGAATTGTACTCTCCGGAATACTGTAGAAAAATATTTTGTCGATCAGTTCATACATATGCGCTTGTAGATTCTTGTTTAAAACCTTTTTGATCCCCTTTGGGTCAAATACCAGTCCTAAGAGCAGGCTAAAGAATTCCCAATTTTAATATTTCTAATGGTGGTACCCTTTAATCGTATTAAACAAATTGGAATTAACAGAAAAACTTCCATTTTGTTCTTGACAACTGATATGCAGAATATGTCAACTGTCACTTTACTATCATTGTTTTTTAGCCTCTCATACAAAAATATATTTTGTGTTTGACAACTGATATCCAGAGTATGTCAACTGTCACTCTACTACCATTGTTTTTTAGCCTAACATACAAAAATATATTGATTTTTTGAAAAAATTTCTTCGAATTTTTAATGATGTATATTTTTATTACTACTGAGACCAACTGGGAGATCTGTAAATCATTAATTCATGCCAATGGGATGTATGTATCCCACTTATCAGTCTCAAAATAGGAAAATCAAGTGTTGATTTGCTGTTAGTATAACCTATTTATCAAAAATTTCCCACAGTTTTTAGGTAGTCTATTCAGTCAAACGCTTCCTCCAAATCAATAAAAACTAGATGATTTATCTCCATTTTTGGGTGTTATTTATACATAAAGTTCTTGTCTTAAGGGAATATAGTCTTAAATTGTTGTTCTTTATTTCAGACGTAGAAAAGGAACGCGCCCTCAACAGCTTGTACGAACCAATGTGCGTGCCCGATATGACGTACATCGACTATTCGCAAGCGCCAACGCCTATGATGCCGTCTCCGGGCGAAGATAGAAAACCTCAAACCGTCAATACTTCTCAGCCGCCTAGTAGTACAACGTCGCCTAGCAACAACAACTTCTTACACGAAGGTAAGTCAAAAAGTTTTTTTTTCACCTAGGCATAAATCCGGACGATTTTGTGGCTTCAAATTTAGCGTTTTGATGTTAAGAATCGTGTTTTTCACCTAGGCATAAATCCGGACAATTTTGTGGCTTCAAATGTAGCGTTTTGATGTTAAGAATCGTGGATAGATTTAAGTCTGGAGAACCACGTGGATTTTATAGGTATCTATCCAATATTTTTACTTATTCGTTTGAAAATAATGAAAAAACGCAACTTCTTTGTGAACCTTTCAGTTAGTTAATGACAAGCATTTTGTTATTAGTTAAAAAAAATCTTACAGACTTAAGTCTGGTTAGTTGCTTGGTTGATATATAACTGTTCAGTTTTTAAGTAAAAATTTTACATTTTTACATAGGTAAAAGCGGTGTAAAAAGGGCAATATTTAGCGTTGTTGTTAATTAAAAATCGTAGAAAAATCACTTGGGTTTAAATCTGGAAAATTACGTGGCTGATATATCACATATTTTGAACTAAGTACTAATTTGTTTGAATATTAAAGAAATATATCATTTCTATTTCAACCATTCAAAAAGTTATGGACAAAATCTTTGTTCGAATGTTTTTCTTTCATTACCAAAAAATCACATAGACTAAAATCTGGAAAATTTCCTGGCTCAAGTATAGAATTTTTGTATTCAAAATTATCGACAAAAAAATAATCATTTTGTACTTCAAAATTCCCATTATCATTTGTAAGTTATCAGTCTTATTATTTTTTAAATATTTATCTTGTGCTCATTATCGTTTTTGTTTTTCGCCCACACTATACATGTGTTTCTAGTGAAAATTGATATGGATATCAAAGTATATTTCTTCTTATCAAAATAAATAAAATTAGGTTTAGTTTTAACACTCGTTTAGTAAATGAGTTGCAGTTGATGACTTTGATTATTATTTATAGAAAAATATTATACACCTACATACATATATATCTGGATTTTTTATCTGCTGCATTTATTTCATTGCAAACGGGGATTTTTAATAAATTTTTAGTTACGGTTATTATTTAGGTGCTGCGATTTTCGATTGTATTTCAACTTTAACACTAGAATTATCGTCTACAAAAAACCTGTAATTTTTTATTTTCATTTTTTAAATCAATATTGCTGTACATAGTTTTTAGTTTCTCATTAAAATCAATCTACTCTTAGATGAATCCAATGATGATGGGTCTGTGGGTCGTGGAGGCTTATATAGTCTATTTTTATGTATGAGAGAGTATTAAAATAATAAAGCGTTCGTAATCCATAGGCGTATCACTTCTTTTAGTAGACAATTAAAATATTTTTTGAAGTTATTCCTCGAGTATACACTTATATTTTCACCTAATTAACCTGATTATAACTTCTAAACAGCTGAAGGTAAAAAAGTGCAATTTTTTCTAAAATGTTTTATTTTTCGACAAGGTATGTTAAGAACATTATGTCAAACGGGTTATGTAGGTATAAGGGTTTAAACTTTGACTTTTAAACAACGTTATGTTCATAAATAATAATTTTAATATAAAAACTACTTCTTACCTACAAATCCAAATCAGAATCGAAATCAGAAGATGAACTGTCGCCACCAATATTTACAATGAGTGGCTCGATCATTTCATCAGTAATATTGTTGAACTTCCACATTTTCTCTTCTTCTTTAATCGTATGATTTACTGCCTTTTCCCAGTTTTCAGGCTTCACATTATTTACATCCTCCAAAAACAACTGTTTAACTTCACTCATTTTAAAAGAATTATTTTTTCTTGAAACTTCTCCCTTTATCTGTGCCCATATCAGTTCAATCGGGTTTACTTCGCAATGATATGGTGGTGATCTAACCACCGTCATCCCACGATTTTTTGCAATTTCATCAATTTCATATTTTTTGAATTCCTCTTTATGAAGGGAACACAAATGATACAGTTCTTTTCTCACAGAACCGGGATGGAACTTAATATTCTTTGAATTTAGCCAATTCTGTAAATATTTTTTTAACCACTTGGTTGTGGGCATTTTTTCTATAAGTCTCGGGTGATAACTTGATTATCCATTACTATTATACAGTTCTGAGGACGAAGATCTATCATTTGTTCGAACCACTCTTTAAAGACATCAGCATTCATGTCCTCATGGTAGTCACCGGTACGAGTAGATTCAAAAGTCAATAAACCACCTTTAACAAAACGGTTTGAACTACCGATGTGTACTATTATTAGTCTGCGCCCCTTTCCTGATGGTGGATTTAAACCAGTAGATAAATTATTTAAAAAAGCCTGTCTTCGACTTGTAACAGTTTCATCTTGCCAACATTTATTTGGTTTATGTCCCTCGTTGATCCATGTTTCATCTAAATAAAATATATTTCTTCTTTGTTTTCTCATTTCTTTTATAGTCCTTAGGTAATTTCTTCTACATACTACAATATCGCTTCTTTCTATTAAAATAGACTTTCAGGAATGCTTTTTCCATAGAAAACCTATTTCTTTTAAAAGTTTCCATAGTGTGCTTCGACTCATTTCAGGGTAATCCTTATCATCTCGAACCGTGGCAAGAACTTTGTCTACTGTCGGAAATTATTTTCTAAAGAAGAACGCATGCACTTTCCTTCGAAGTCTTTCTTTCAAAAGATTTTCTAATTGAAATTTTGGTTTTCCTGGAGCTTTACGTGCTGTTTGAAACTCGCCACATTTCTCTTCTTTAACAACTCTGTAAATCGTAGATTTCCCAACACCAAGCGTACTACTAACTAATTCCACTTTGTCATCAACACTTTTACATAAATGTTTGTCTGTAAATTATTTAAAACAATTAAATATTAATGTTTTTTTATTAACTGTTAAAGGACCGATTTTTTGTCGTTTACGCGGCCCTTCCAAATTTTCCATGATCACACTAGAATTCACACTGCACCTTGCAAGTTGCAACTAAACGACATTTAGTAAACTGTCAAGAATACACAACTTGGACCTCCTTACTAAATGGAAAACCTATAATCGCATTTTCGGTGAAATTTATTGGGAAGGTATTTATCTACTTATAATTCGATTACTGTAAAAAATTCTTGGAATTAAAATAAAACAAAATTGGCAAATAGGTACTTATTGAAAATAATCTTAGGATACGGCTATGTAATCTTTAATACACAGGGCTTTTGGCCTGTCCAAACCTTTTTCTATTGTTCTGTACAGCTTATGTTTATAAAGGACCAATAAGAGACCCAAAACTTGTAATAGCTCAGGTACATTTATTTCAATTTTAGGAAATATTTAGATTATTCTGTAAAAATATTTAAAATGACCGTACTAAGTTTTGCATTAGAAATGCTGTTTTATTACTCTCTCATACATAAAAATAGACTATAGAATGGGCAGTTATTGACTATTTAGAGAAAAACCTTACTTTGAGGCATCAGTTGCAAGCAGTTGTCTTTTTCCATAACACCCAAATTGTTAATTTGGACTCAGTGACAGTAATTTCTCGAAAAATTGGGAATTCCAGTCCCTATTTTGTATATCAAAATTAGTTATAAATGATTTATCGTTAGGTTACCATATCAATGTTTTATATACAGTAAAATGTGTTAACTTCCATGACCAAATGGTCTGCACATAATTTAGATATTAATTAAAATTAATATCTTCATTATTTATTATTGTATAAAATTTTATTCGACCCTCGTATTCACAATTATTCATTAAGCAATTTCGTTTTTTTACTTAACATTAAATGAAATATATATTCGTTATTTTCATAACTTTTATGCATATACATACACTCTGCCGTTTCAAGGTATGTCACGCGTTGCTGATCAATGTTCCTTTCGTCTTTTATTATTATGATGTTTTGTAAGGATATTTTTTTTTGTGTAATTATTAGTGAATACATAATTGCGCTATTTGAATTACAAATCCGAGTTGGCAGACAATCAAGTTTGCGGCTGACGTTCGTTTCGTTCTTTCGCCTAATTAACAAGTAGCGCATATTATTGTTTTGTTTTTGGCTTTAACATATCTCGAAATAATATGACATCAATTTAATCAAAGGTAATACCATGAGTCCTCCAAATTTAATCGATAACCTTTGAAAAGACGAGAGGTATTTGAATAGATTATTTTTTGAATCATTTTGCATGAAAAAGACAATAAACATATTGGAAGTGTTCTTTAAATATATAAATATGGCTTTATTTTATATAGTAATATAATTTTCTTTATTCTAAAAAAAGAATACGTCAACAGGGTATTTTGTATAGACGGTATCCAGGCATCGAATGTGTAGGTTAGTTGTAATTCACGGGTTTGACATTTTCCAAATTTTAGAGTTTTTGTCTTAAACTATAAGATTGAATAAGATCTATATAATTTAGTTAATTTATAACTGTTAAGCTATTTAAACATTATTTTAATTTACAAAAGTTGAGTATAAATGAGTTGATGTTATGTATATTAAAGTGATTCAACATAAGGTTTGTTTATATTATATTATCGATTTATTATTGTGCAGTAAAACTAACAATAATTTTGAAATTAGGGTAGTATTAACATATATTTGAAGTTCATTGTACTTTGATAAAAGTTGCTAGATTGTGTTTATAGTGTCAGTTCAAAAAAAAAAACGAAAAAGAGGTTTAATCAGTATAAAACTCATTAAATAGGATTGCCAGCGCTTATTGGCTAAAATCACAAAATTTTGACTATTTTGACAGATGAAAAAAATAATTTCGGTTAATATTGAGGGGGTTTTCGTGCTGAAGGCATAACCACTTTTTTATGTAGGTATGTTCGCTTAAAGTGAGAAATAAAGACCCCAAAATTGTAATGGTTAAAACGCAATAAATGTAGACTTCTAATTGGTACAGAATCTTCAACAATATAGTACAAAATACAGTACCCTTTTTTATGAGCTGTGACCATCAAAATAAAATACAGAACTGTTTACACTATTTGACCTTTGAATTTTATACCTAACCTTAAAAAAACTGGCCT